GTGAAGCTTGGGAGATTTTAGGAAATTCCATGGCATGGGCCAAGCACTGTTGCTTGTGAGAACTGAGCTGAGCTGAGTTGGGTTCGGTGGTTCTCAGGGAATCACCAGGGTGGGGTGAGGGGTATTGGCCAGGTTAATGGAGACTCAGATTTAGCACTCACCTGAGCCTGTGAGCTATGTGCAAGGAGAGCTTAACAAAGAACAATAGTCTGCCATCACTTCTGTCCTGATGAGACCTGCTTCTTCAGCCCTCACCCTGGAGACAGACAGTTCAGTTCCTTCCCATATTTTTCTGGCACTTTTTAAGCGATTGTCCCTTCACTGTAGCTTAAGGCAAGTGTTTGTGAGTGAGTGGCTCTGTGTGCAGGCCATTTAAGTGGATACCTGGATCTGTAGCTGGTCTCTGTCTCATCCAGATGGAACCCACGTTTTCACAGCCAGATGCTGTGAGGACTCCTCCGCCCTGGTGTGCCCTGGGCTGAGGACCCTGGTGAGGGGCTGGGATCCCTTTTTCCTCAGTGGGCCCTGCAGCCTGGATATCCCTGCTTACTCTTAACTGCCGCATATAGGCGTTGGGTCAGCCTGTTTTGCTTCTCTGCCTTTGCTAATAGTCTCAACATGGCTTCTTTATTTGCTTAGTTATAGATCTGTTCAGATAGCCATCCTGTGGCTCTCCAGAGTGGTGGTTCTATAATTTTGTTGTAGTTGTTTTGATGGGGTTGTGGGAGGAGGCGAGCACAGCATTCACCTACTCTGCCATCTTGATCTGAGTCTCTAGTTCTTCTCAGCTTAGGTAACTTACATTTTCTCTAGGAGTTTGTCAGTTTTGTTTGTTTCCAAACTTATTACCATAAATTTCATAATATTTACTTATTACTTTTTCAATCCCTGATGTTTCTGTAGTTGTTGATACCTACAGTCTTTATTACTACAACTTTTTTTTGTTTTGGAAATCTCATCAGAGGATGGTTTAAAAAAAAAGCTCTTGGCTTTGCTGATCTTCTAGATTATTTTTCTGTGTAAGCAGTATATCAAATATGTTGACTCAGGGATACTGAAAAACTTTTTTTTTGTCTTTCATTGTCCCTTTAAAGTTTGTGTAGTTGAAGAAAGCCTTCTACTTTTCCTGGATGGAAATTCAGGCAAGCCACATAACTCAGGGTTTCTCAGCTGTGGCATTATGGACATTTTGGGCCAGATAATTATCTTTATTTTTTAAATATGTTGTTTATTTATTTTTAGAGAGAAGGGAAAGGAGGAAGAAAGAGAGAGACAGAAACATTGTGTGGTTGCCTCTTGTGCACCCCCTAGCAGGGGTGTGGGGACCTGGCCCACAATCCAGGTGTGTGCCCTGACTGGGAATTGAACCAATGACCCTTTGGTTTGCAGGCCAGCTCTCAATCCACTGAGCTAAAACAGCCAGGGCTGGGCCAGATAATTCTTTAATGTGGAGGTGTGTCTGTGTGCTGCGGGATGTTTAGCAGTGCGCTGGCATCTACTATTAGATGCCAGTAATACTTGTTAGTTATGACAACCAACAATGTCTGCAAACATTGTCAAATGTCCTCTGGGGGACAAAATTCCTCCCAGTTGAGGGCCACTGGGCCATGACTTCTATGTTTAATCTTTGAAAACATAAAGTTTTAGAATCATTTATTTTCCCACCTTTTAAGTTGCTTGCCTAGCTCATTAATTTTCAACCTTTTTCAATGTTATATTTGAGTATTATATATATTTTTTCTTTTTTGGTTGTCAGCGAATTCAGTGAAATTTATTGCTTAATTGCTATACTTAACAAATTTCAGATATTTTTCCTTCCCTTTTCTTTATAATTGTGTTGTATTTTATTTATAATTTTTCTTTTTTACCATATGTTTAATCTTTTAGATGACTTCTGGTCTTCCTAAAATAACATTTGATGAACATACATTTAAAATACACCAATGATTATATTTGTGGAACATCTGTTTTGGGGTAAAACACTGTTGGGGATACTGACGTAGGACTCATTTCAAACCATGAGAAAGGGTTTATAGGAGGGAGGGAGGAGGAAGAATGGGAGAGAGAGATGACGTGCAGAAGAGAGGGGTGGCAAATCTGCTGGTTTCTTCTAAGTTTATATATTCATCAGACCTACATGGGGAGAGGTTGGATTTAGCTTGACACAAGATGATATTTATGTATTAACCTGGCCGGGGCAGATGGCTGCCTGTCCCCTTACTTGACTGAGATTAAATGTAACAGTCAACCATGGCAGGTAAGATGTTCCCTTCTCTGATTTGATATTCCCTGGGAAGCTGCGAAAGGGTGCAGTTCTCGAAGGGACAAGGCCCGGTGTCTGGGTTTCTGCCTGGCTTTGACAGGGCTGCACTGTGCTAAGTCCTCAAGACTGTGAGCCTGCAGGGACCCCAGGGAGCAAATCCTCCCATTTGCGCACTCGTGGCACTTGAAAAGGCACGTGCATCCCGGGTGCGCTCCTTCCAGTCCCTCGGTGGTGCACTGCCGCATCAGGGTTACATCTTGACATTTGGCAAGGGGACGAGGGGAAGACTGCAGGCTGCGTGAAGGCTTCCAGGGGCTGCTTGAACATTAGCTTGAGATGAAAACCCAACAAGTTTAATTATCTTTTATCCAGGTATAAAAGGAAACATTTGGAGTGTGTGTGTGTGTGTGTGTGTGTGTGTGTGTGCAGAAAAGGGAGACTCTCCCTAACTTGGGATAAGATCAAGCCCTCCAGAACAGTGGGAGTGGGAAGCCGAAAGAGAACAGCTTCTAAGGTCACTACCCCCGCTTTCTATGACATTTATTTTTCTATTAATTCTTGGCATTTATATTACTGTGATAGATCAATTAGCTTCTCACAGTGTTCTAGTCCATTGACCTTACCATTTAACTACCCTATGGTGCCATTGTTACCACAGGGAGACCGCAAAAGAAACATTTATAATTTTGAAGTACCTAGGTCCAGAGCTGAGAAATATTAAAAGGCTGAGTTTGGGTAACCAGTAGCACACTAGATGACTGAACCTTCAGGGAGTTTTTCTTTTTGCTCAGTTTTCACAGCAACACTGTACAAAGCAAAGGAATAGAACTCACCCTGAGTAGTCCTGGTGTTCAGGGATTCCTAAATGACTCTGAGAACACCAGGAGATCACTGGACCTCAGAGGCAGAAGGGCCTTCCCCGAGCGATCACCGTGTCAGTCAGGATCCTTGACTGCCGGCAACAGAGCTGGACCTCAGGGCGGTCAGGCAGAAGGAAAACAGCTGCGAGGCTAGCAGGGGGCTCTGAGGTCCACGAGAGAGGGGGCTCCGAGAGCAGGAGGCTTGAGGATGGGAAGAGACAGAAGGTGCTCTGAAGGGCGGGGAAGCAGGAGTTACGGCAACATTCCCCTAGAAGGAATGCCCTCTGGCTGTTCCTTCTATCCTTTTAGACTCAGTCTTGGCAGAAAGACTCCATTCAATTAATAAAGAACAACATGGACTGGAGTGTTTGGCTTCTGCAGTAGGAGGGCCTGTGGAATTATGTTTCCATCAGGACCACACACATTAAAAAGAAGAAATTCCCCTGGAGGAGATTAGGATGATTTTAGGGAGAAGTGACTGAAGTAAAGGGAAAAAAGGGGGGAGGGGGAAGAGTGAGGGAGAGTGAGAGAAAAAAAAGGAAAAAGTTTAACCCTGGGCAATTATTTAGTCAAACCTCCTTTTGCAGGTGAGGAAACCAGTCCAGGCAGTGATATGGTTTGTTCCAGTTTGCAAACCAGCGACAGTCCTCGCAGGAGTGAGGGCCTGGGTCTCCCAGCTTCGGGCTTGGTGCCAGTTTCATTGATGCCTTTGGAAGCAGCACCACTGGCCTTACTCAGCAGTAATCACAAGGGTTTGGTCTAGGTGAGCCAGTCTGTTTGTCTGCTTCAGGTTTGAAGAGTTTGAAAAACCACTCATTCAGATTCAGCTTTTAATTGAAGGAGCAACCATTGATGCTTTTAATAAAAGCTAGTTTTTCCCTCCATGTTTTTTGCAAGCAACATACATCAGCACCATCTGCCTGAAGAAAACACTAGCTAGAGCAGGTTGTACAGCAAGATGTAGGACTTTAATACCACGAGAACTCTAGGGACTTGCACAAATCCTGTTCATCCAGCCTAGGGAATGGGATCTCAGTTACATAGCCATCCTTCCTTGGTGATGGGTGTCCCCAGTCCTAATAATTGAGGTCAGTAAAAACACGGGTTGTTTGGGATGCTGTTTCAGATATCAAACCTGCTGGACATGAGGATACAACCCCAGGTGGACAGTTAAGAGCTATGGCACTGAAGCGCGCAGCTCTGGTCAGAGCGTGGGAGAGGCAGGAGGGTCCGAGGGGGGATGTGTGTGGATCCCTCTGCCTTGTGGGTGGCCCCTCTAATCCAACACCAGGGATGAGGAGCGCTTGGTTTAACGCAGAGCAACCTGGTAAATAACAGCATGCTGTTTTAGGAAGGTTATTGATTTGCTGACTGAAGGGTAAACAGAATTCTCCTCTGGGCTCCGTGACCGGCTCAGCCCCACTCAAGGTGCAGACCCCTCACTGCAGTTCTGCTGCAGGAGCAGCTTATAGCTTCTCTCCAAACATCCTTCTCAGCCACCTTTCTCCCCTACCTCCTCTTGTTACATCTAAACAGACCCTGTTAGGAGACAACAAAACACCCTGGCAAGCAGCCTATCCACTCAGAGAAATGAGACTTGAATTACATTTCAGGTTTGATTTCTAAACAGAGGAAGCAGTGATTGGACTGTAAGCCACACACACCCATTACCATCAGAACTCATAAGTTTAATTATGGAGGAACTGAAAGCTTATAATTTGTTATGCACTATTACATCTGTAGGAGGCCAGTTGCCATGGAAATCTTCCTCCTTTCCTTCTACTTAGAGCATATTTACATGGCAAAGGAAGAGAAATAAGAAACATAATGGAAAGATTCAATAAGATAAGACACAGTTGGCTACAAATATTTTACATTTATTATAAGAATACAATAAAAAAAGTTTCCGCAGAACTATAAGTGGTAATTGGTCCATTGGAAAAGAAAAAGAGGATATTCAAAAAATGATCTAAGTTTACAAAAATGATGATAATCATGTTTTAAAAAAGTAGAAGACAATTTTAAAACATCCTACAATGTTAGCCAAAGTTCAAAATGTATTTCCTTTGAATGTAAAAACTAACAAATAAATAAGTGTTAAATACAGATCTGAGTTAAAAATGGTAAAAGGCAGACAACTAACTGCTTTATATATTTCGCTCTCATTCATTTTGAGACTTGCTTACAAAGCCAGATAAACTCACCAAAGGCCTTGTTTGTATGTTTTACACTTGAACTTTTTATAAGAAGCACCCTATTTCCAGTGTTTCTTTTATCCACTTCACAAATATATTATTTTAAAACAGTAACAAAAATGACTAAAGGTGCTTTAACCTGACAATATTGGCACTAAAAGGAAATTGTGTAAACCACTGGAGTGCTTTGCCCAAAATGATGCTTGCAGACAGAACATCTGCACCCACCCCAACATCCCAAACTCCGCGTCTAATGAAGGGCAGAGGAAGCAACCGGAGGGTGACATTTCTGCAACCACCCACTGTGGGCTTGTGCCAGGAAAGTGGCCTGTGCCAGTGGACTGCCCCGTAAATGGCCCAGCCATCATCTATACATTTTATCTTTGCTTTCAGCTTACTTAGGTTCCTGCAGAAGTCAGTGCTGCTCTTGGAACTCGGATGACTTTATTTTATTCTCCTGCATCTACCAGGCTTTTCCTAACCCTATGTGGTTATATGGCTATGACTTCAGAAAGTTCCAGTCTTTTAGGGCACTCATCAGACCAGACCAAGGAAAACACAAAGAAAACCAGAAGATGAAGTCAGCAGAATTCATACCACTACCAACCCCACTACACTCATGTTGCTTATTTAGGCTATCCAATTTAAACAAAAATTAAACATAAGGTTTCTAGATGTTTGATTCATAAAGTTGTTTCAGTGAGAAATCTCAATGCTTTGTGAAGGAAAACGATGAACAGAAGTGGCCCGTGTGTGGCTGGGGCTCCTGTTTTGGTCCGTGGTACATGTCTGAGTCTGTCAGGCATGGTATTGGGTAACTGGCATCCCACAGAGCGAGGGGAGATGCTCAGCCAGTGAAAGGGAGTTTTATGCCTTTGGCTACTTTGGTCATGATTTGGGATAACCAAGACCCCTTTCTACCAATTCCTTTTTATCTTTGATTCTGACCTGAGGTATCTGGTGAACTTTGTAGAACCAATCTCTTTGACATTAAATCTAAAAACAGTGAATTCTATTTAACTGTATTATTTTCTGTACATGGCCAGTGGGAGGAAGAATTATGGTAAATAAGTTCACTTCTGTGGGAATTGGCCTTCCACTTGCAGCTGAAGCAACACAGTTCAGACGGCAGGCACCGTGCCGCCATGCCACCCTGCAGTCTGAATGTAAGAACTGCTGCACTTGGGTGAGGAGAAGCATTCAAAGCGAGCAAGGCTCCTGGCGCCATGTCCCCTGCATTTGCCTACAGCAGCCTGGCATTACTCAAGAGCAGGCAGGCGAGTTTATTTCTACCAAGTCAAATTATTTGTGAAAGAAAACTTCTACAACATAGGGTATTTTTCTTTCCCTCATCCATGTTTGAGAATTAGCAAACACACTGGTTGAGTGCACTGGGAAAGGCTGCCAGACAGTCCTTCTGCCTGGGAAATCAGGAACGCTTCAGACTTCCTCTCAGCCCCGAAGGGTCTGAATGCAGGGCACTTAGAAATGTAGGTGCCCACTGTGGGGGGAGGATTTAATTTATTGTTTCATAAAGATTGTGCAACTCAAAAGAAGACCCCAAGGTCATGTTATTTGACAAGAGCTACATGAAAAAATAATAATGAGGGTTTGGAGTCGTACACAACCTCATTTTTCATTCTCAGGGTTTTGCTGCTCCAGTGCGGGAATTGGGATGTCATTTTATGGCCACCTTCCACCTACCCTGTGTTACTCAGAATGTTGACATTTCCTGCTGACATCTTTCCTATGCTTTCAGAATAAGGTGTGATCTTGTGTGATCAGACGAACTGCGCAGACGTGAGTTCTGTGTTGCTGTTGGCACCGAGCACACAGGAGTGCGCTCCTCCTGCTTGCTTTGGGGGTGGCTATCTGGTGCTTTAGCAGGTCATTTTAGCATCTGCTGTGGATCGAATCTAGAATGTGCTTATTCTGATACTAAAGGTGTTCTTGGCAAATAGAAGCAGGGTGTGATGCTTGCAGGCTCGCGCCCTTTTTAGGCCGGGTACTTACTGCTTTGGGGAACTGGTAGAGCAGAGCTAATGCCTTAACACAACAGTGCTTCGGGTCTGTTTATCTAGGTTGACTGGCTTATTTTGAATTTAAGGCTTCATATTTGCTACCCTCTTTTCTGAAGCTATGGGAAAACTGAACATGGCACAATTGAGATACTACTTTTAGATATTTACTGATGAGAGTGTGAAGGAAGTAACAAGAAATAATGGCATAGAAGTGGAATGGAAAAACCAAGTATGTTGAGGGGTTTAAGATATAGAACTCATTGTTAGTGTTTTAACATTTCTTTGGAGGTAGGTCACCTAATGAGCTTAGTCAAGCCAAGTCAATAGGCTGCTTCCCGGAACACACCCACTCACCAAGAGCTTGTCATCCTGGGAAGACCTCCTTCTTCTGTGGATAGTGTCACTTGTCATATACATCTGCCACATAATCCTCTGTCTCCATGACAAGGACTGCAACTAGTCTTTCTTTGTATTCTAAGCTGCACCTGCTATGGGGCCTCTCACGTTACTCAGGTGCACAGTTGGCCTGGTGAAGGGATGCCTGGGAGTTAGTTCCCTCTGAGGCAGGGGCCTCCTAAGCACCTGCAGAGAAACTCTTTGGTCTAAGCCTATGATGATGCTGTCTGATAAAAGCTGATCATAAAAGACTTTCCTGTTTTGGTAAAGTAAGGATTAAGAAACTGTGTATGGGAAGAGAAAATACTAACCAGAAGTAAAAAAATAATAATAACAATAATAAAAATAAATAAAAACCCAAAAAACAACCACCCTAGAAAAACTAGCACCCAGCATGGTTCCTTGCACCTGGACGTGGCAGAAGTTTAAGAAAAGCTTGTAAATGGATAAAGCTGAGGAAAAACACATTACGAAATTCTGCTACCAGGGTTGTTACTATCACTTACAATATTCTATTACTTTGTACGACAGTCACATCTGCTGGCCTCATGGTGATGTTTGGGAAGATAGTTTAGAAATTCTAGGTTCAAATCTTTTTAGAGTGAGTCCTAAATATTCTTCTATTGGGGCTCTTGGCTAGTTTGCTAGCAAGGAGGGAAGCTAAGTCTGCCTTCATGTTGCAAGCATTAGACACCTGCAAGACATTTTTCCTTTAATAAAATAAAAAGTAGGAGCTTCCACAGCGCACGTCCTCCAACGCTGGCTACCCCAGGCACATGTGTGATGTCACTGAGCTTCCCAAGGCTTAGGGAGTGGGCTGAACCTCTGCTGTGTCTGCGGCCTTACCAGAAAATCGAGTGAGGGCAATTCTTATTCAACAGCAGCTACCTCCTGAGATTATGGGGATCATAAACAAAATCAAATCAATATCCAATTCAGTGCTCTTTAAGAAATGTTGTAGAGACTTGAGAAGCATGTAACATTAAATAACAGGCAGCAGGAAGTGCCTCAAAAACTCTCTTTTGAGGATTAGCTTTCCTTTATTAACACTGCATTTATTTGCTGGGACGTTAGCTTTTGAGTCACTTTGGGCTGGTACTTTGTCATTTCCCTTCATGTCCTTCATCTTCCTGTTTGGATGTCTCATTCTCTGTGCCTGTGTCTATCATCCGTGGTGCTGCACTAGGACTGGCCTAGGATGTTTCTAAGATTCCATTCCCTTCAATGTTACCAGTGTAAAGTCATGGCTCATTGCTATTGAATTGGTATTTTCTTTCTTCCCTGCTTAATTCCGTGTTTTCTCAGAGGTCATCACAGTTAAGGGCCTTCTGAGGGTACCGTATTTTTCCGTGTATAATGCGCACTCAAGTTTTTGGCCCAAACTTCCAGGGGACAAAAGTCTTTCATTTTAATTTTTAATTCAATTTCCATTTTTTTTAATATTTAGATTCTTGTTTTTTATATTATAGAGGAATTTTAGCATTTAGTTTTGAACATATACTGTTATTGCTTTCTACAATTACACTTAATACATAACCATAAAGTAATTAAAAAATTTACAGATATGGAATTAGTACTACCCATGTATAATGTGCATCCTCATTTTTCCCTCAAAAATTTGGGCAAAAAGGGCACATGATACATGGCAAAATATGGTAAGTCTAGGCGCCAATTAGTTAACATTAGTCAAAAGGTGAAGTAGGGCTGAAATAAGCATGCTTTCTTTTAGGAGACTAGCCTAGGTTAAGTCCTATAGCAACCAAAGATTTCCAGTAAGGTATGAAGAAGCAGTGATTATAGTTCAAGAAAAATTAAATATAGCTAATGCAAATGTAAAGAGACTTTGAATAGTCTCTAAAATTTTGAAGACATATGAGCCAATCCTTTAATTGCTAAGACAATGAGTATAAATGTCGCTTGGCGCAGCACCATCTCTGAGCTAGGGATATAAGCTGCTCTCGATGTAAGGGGGAGAGGTGTTTGCTCTTCCCCCACACACTGGTAGGTGACTTCTACGGTTTCTTTTGGCTCCGTTATCTTTTTAATTTTCTATAGGAAAGGATCTGGCTCGGTGGCATTGATTTCCTTAAGCTTTCTAGTGACACTGTCCAAGTCTTTGTTCCTCTTTAATTATTCCACACTCTCCACAGTGGCTGCATCATCCTGTCTTAGAATAATTGGTTCCTTCTCTTTGCCTCTGCACATGCTTGCCTCAGCTCCTTGTTAACAGATACACAGAAGCCTGTGCTCATTACACCTCTGCAGTTTAAAGTGACTGGGAATTCAGAAGAGCAGATTTTTCTACTACCCAAGAAACTCAGTCCTTATTAGGCAGCTAAGTGAGTCTTAGGGTCTATACTTAACAATTCAGAATTTAATCTTTGAATTAGCATGAGGCACTAGGATGGTTTTCAATGGGTAATAAATATTTTCTTAAATTGAATTATGACTAAGATATATAGCTTATATATCTTTTATATCATAGCATGATTTTTTAAAGGAGAACTTCATGGGACTGTAAGACTGTACCAATCTCTCTTTCAAGTAGGTAATCTTGGTACATGAGTATTTTGTTTTGCAAAAATGAATACACAATTCTGGATTCTTCCAACTTGTATAATATTCAGACTTGATATGAAACTCATCAAAACAGAAAAATAAAATATTTAATAAAATTTCTGGTATGTATAAGCAAATCAAAGTAATAAAAGAGGTAACACTTTATTTTAATGGTAAACTTTTATGCTAACTTAATAATATAATGGAAAAGTAATATAAACTTATTTTCATATAAAATATTTCTATTTAATGAACATATTAATACATAAAGAAAAGTGTCTTTCAATTTTCTGCCCCTTTGTTGCTCTTTTTATTTTGCAATATCCTCTGTTTTGTGTGAGACCTCTGACCTCCTAAATACAAAAGCCAGTCTTTACATGACTCAGGACAGTGGTTATGGACAATCAATTTTGTTGATAAAAAAACATTTTAAATACCAATGGTGTGATCAAGAGAGTACGTGGGGATAAAAGGGGCTGAGGCACACAACCTCTTTTCCGAAAATTTCAATTGATCTCACTTCGCAAAAATGAATTATGAAGTGGAGGAACTGAGAGATCTCCCAGTGACAGGAACACGCAGTCTGGACAGGTGGTGGTGCACTCTGATTTTCACGTTTCTCCCACTACAAGGTCCTTGGTGTGCAATGTGTAACTAAAACACTTTCTTCCTGACATAATCTCACACCAGTGTGGTGAAGCCATGGTTATTTTAGTGGCATTAGCCAAACTTGATATAAACTATATGGTGATACTGAAACACGAGTATTACATAGATAAGAAGACCATATTGTGATTTAAAGAAAATTAAATCTATTTCAGTGACTAAACATTTTTTCTTCTTAAAATAACCCTCAAATGAAAAAAAACATTGCAAAATGTGCACTGAACGACAGCTAATATGATTTGCCTCATGGTCTATGCTCATCTGCTTGTAAGATGTTTAAATAATATTGTATTTGTGGTAAGGCAGTAAATTATGAATGAAAAACTTTATTGCTTACATTAAATTTGGGCAAGAAAAGAGAAATGATTATATGAGGCCTTTCACTGGGTACCTAGTGGCAGGATGGGCTGAAATAAAGACTGTGATTTTGAAAGTTTGGGAAAAACTTGTTAATCCTTTATTTTCTTGGAAGAGAAAGGATGCATTGGCTTTGGGAAGTAAACTCAGATTACTCAAACGCAAAATTAATTTTAGGTTTTGCATGTTGGTAATGAATGTTAATTTGACATTAAAAGATTTAAGATTTCTTTCCTTGAAAAATGATGCTAGCTAAATATTTTTCATAAAGCTTCTTTAGTGATTTGAGATAAAGGTGGAGAGATCCAGGCCTCCTGAGTGCCTCCTGCCCTGCCGTATTCATAATTTAAGGGGTTGTGATGGGAACTGTCTGGGAGTGATAAATGTAACTCTTAAAAAATCCATTAACAACACACAGATTTGTGACCTGGCTTAATTACATTCAGACCAGTGGCAATTTTGGTTACAACTGTTTTCTTACTAAACAAGTCATAGGATTTTGTGCAAACTTGAAGCCTTCTTTTCCTACATTGACTTGCAAATTCAGAACAGTATTTGTGTGCTTTTTGGGTATGGATTAGCTTCCTAAAGTACATAATTCCAACAATTATCAGTGACAGAAAGGATGAATAAATTATGCTTTAAGTGCAAGAAAATTAGCAGTAAAAGTGGTTTGCATAAGTTCTTGATGCATGTGCCTATATTAAATTTAATATTCTATACAACTGATACACTCCTGAAAGACTCTTGGTGAGTTACTAATCCTGAACTATACCACTGCCTGCTTTGGGACAAAGAATAAAATAGAATTTAAATGCTGCATATGTCATGATGCTTTGAAAAGTGTCTTTAATTTAAGCACAGAGTAATGATGTGAATTGTAAACTCTAACAGCTGCGATGAGTGAACTGCCACGTTCCTTCTTTAAACCAGAATGCACAGATTAAGCCTCAGGTCTTATTTACAAAATTAAAGCCCAAACCATCATTTTCTCTCCTTGCTGAGAGCTTAGCATTGATGCTGCTAAGTGATGGGAAGCTGGTTTCTATAAACAAAGGCTATTATGGAAAGGTTCACCTAGAAATACTGACAGAGTGGAAATGTCCCCATCCTATCCTTACATTTGAAGGGTGGAAAGGGCCTGAAGACCACAGCACCTAATTTCAATCCATGAGCCTATGCTCTGATTCACCACAGTGTATGCCATCAAAAGAGAGTTCCATTTATTTACAATATTTGACAGAAGTGAAAACAGTGCTGGCTTTGAATATTGCAATATGTTTTTGAGGGCAAGTTTATTATGCATTTACTTTAGTCTGAATGTAGTAATCATTAAATGCATACAAAACTTTCAAGGAGATTGAAATGATAGACACAAAGCATTTTCCTGTTCAGTGTTATCCTTTCCACTTTTCAGAGAGCTGAGTGGAGTTCTGTGCAGTGATATTCACAGGCAGCAAACAGTTGGATTGGGCAGGAGGAATTTTCTATCCCATAAGCTCTTCCAATAAACAAAGACCAAATAATCACTAAGGTGCTATTTATCTGGACACACGCCTGAGCACTTATTAAAAGCTCCCAAGGCACATTTACCCCTGAGCGTGACCACCTCTTCCACACACATTTATCCTGAGAGGCAACTATATACAGAAAACGTGGTAAGCTCCCTGGATGCAGCAAAGGTTTAGCTCAACAGAATCCTACATCTGACTGTTGCATATTCATACAAAGCATCTCCAGAACAGTGCTTGCACACCTGTCAGCCGAGGATGAGAATTTCCTGGTAGAAGTGGAAGGGTAACAAGGGGGAAGGTGGAAACACAAGAGTTGTCCCCTAGCTTTTTCCTCACAGTGTCCATTTGTTGTCTTAACCACCTACTCCATTCCCACCTGCCTTGCTTCTCAGTAGTGTGTATACGTGCACACGTGCCCGTGTTTCTGAACTAGGATCGTGGAATTCTGACAGCTCAGGAGACTGGTGCCAGTGAAGGGTGTTCATTCTGGGATGGCCCCTCTGAGGTGAAGGTAGTTCACCAAAGGTATTCTGTTGGTTCTATGGACTTGAGCTTTGTGGTTTTTCCAAAAAAAAAATTTGTGTTGCCATTAAGAAAGCTTTTTCTGTGATCTCCTGAAAAACATGTCACAGAACCTGCTTTGTGAAGCCAAACCATAAAATCAAAAGGGTGTGTGTGTGTTTGTAAAGGCGTAACTTGGATACAAAGACATTTTACATTTTCCTTTGCTTCTCTTTTCTCCCTTCCCCCCTCCTGCCTTCTGAGGCATCTCATGCACTGGTTTTTGATGCCTAAACAGAGGAGGGAAACGAACACCTCACTAATAACATAGGAGAGTGACGATTCTTACACTGCACTTATTTCTGGCAATAAAGAAAAGAAAAACCCCAGGAGGGCCAAGTAATTCCCAATATAAATGAGGTTTACAAATATAAACTTGCCTTGGCAGAGCAGAGGGCCAGTTCTGGCTGGAAGGTGTCCTGCAAACACAGCATTGCCAAGGCAGCTACAGCACCGAGTCGGGCGGGAGGCACAGGACAGCAGCTGGGAGCAGTGCTGCTGACGTAGGGAAGCTTTGAGAAGCATCATGATCGTGGTGGGAGAAAGAGATCTGTTCTCCCTCACATTAGAGCCTGTGCTTTTTCTATTTACAGTGGCCTGAAATGGGATTGCTGCGGTGAGCTAATAAAGCCCTTGGTAGGACTGTTTCTTGAATGCATTTGCCTTTGCCTTTTTTAAAAAAGTGGCACGTATTTTTAAAAAATAGTTAATAAAAAACATAACCTTATCAAACTGTTGCAGGTAACGTGGTATAAACTTATTGTTAATGTGAAGAACATTATTATTCTGCTGGAGGAGCGAGTCCCAAAGGCTGCGTTTGGCACTGTCCTATCACTATGTGATCTTCTTCTTGATGACAGTGAGCTCTTTCTGAAGGTCACTAAATTTGGGGCGGTTTTCAGGTTTATAATCCCAGCACTTCATCATAAGTTTAAAGATATCCTCTGGACAGTGCTGAGGGGCTGACATCCGGTATCCTGAAGACCCAAGAGAAGAACAACAGGGAATTTAGAATGGAGACAAGATACAAATGCTCAGGCAGGGGGTTATGCAGTTTGTAAATTTAGTACCTTATGTTGTAGGTGTAATTGAAGCAAAAACCTTTTATAGGGCACTGTTTTTTTTTTCCTATAAGTGAGACAGAGTTCAATATTACAAAGCCATAGAATTACCTTCTAGTTCAGAACTCATTTTTTGTTTATTGCAAAGTCTCATGTATGATACATCACATACAAATGAATATTTTATTTGCTCTAGGTATTTGCTTTTAGATGGTATGGGCAGAGTTTAAAAAAAAATCACCTGTACTATCTAGGTTTTTGGAGATGAAGAAAGGATGAGGATTTAATAAACAGTTCAAAAGTGAACTAAAAATGAATGTCTATACTCCTTTACAGTCCAAGAGGAATCTTATCTTTAATTCCAAGTTGCCCGGCCTTGTCCCCACAGCGTGGGGCCGCTGGCTGGCAGCCTGTGTGTGTTTACCTCAGGAAGTAAGACAGCTGAGGTAGGAAGAAACTGCAGTCATCCTCCTACACCCAACTCTACAACCTGCCCCTCTTGAGTGGCCTGAGGCTAAGGCATTGTCATTTTTGTTAAAAGCATTATTTTTGTTGAAAGCTGTGGACCCCACAACTGCGTGCTCAGGGTCACCTTCCCTTACTCATTTCTGTCTCTGATCTGGGAACACCATAGGTTTTTTTCAGAAGTTACACAAAATTCTCTAAAACTTCCTGAGGTCTAACCACACTTCAGCGTGCAGTAATATTAATGGTGTTTATTTGTCATAGTATAAAAAACAGGAGCTTGAGGAACGCTGGCCTGTTTCCCTCAAAGAGACTGAATGGCACCCCTCATAGGGGTCATGCCAGGCAGGGGGAGTGAAGAAAAGCCTAGAGCTGTCTATTTTTAAAGACAAAAAGTTTTTTGTTGTATAAGAGCCACACGATCTGAGGGGTTCAGAAACAGATTTATACACCCCTGCTGTCTCTACAAACTAAGTGTGCACCCTCCCCCACCCCGGGAAAGGCAGACACACCACAGCACTGCCCCTGGGGGCTGACGTGCCAGCACCACCCACACATCTTTGGCTCACCTCTTTCCACCTGCTCGCGCGCTTGCTGATTCGTCATTCCAGGGTACGGGCAGACCCCAAGACTGAAGGTCTCCCAGAGGAGGATGCCGAAGCTCCACACGTCACTCTCCGAACTGTATCTCCCTGGAGAGCACACGGACCATAGTCAGGTGAGAGGAGAGGCAGGTGACCATTTTTGTCTGTGTATTTCTCTTTCGGTCACACAGTTACACATTAAACTTACCAAAGGACCTTTAAAACTAGTGGTCCTATTCCCTTTACCAGTTTTACTTTCCAGGATTAGCAATATTACTGAACAAGTGAAGAGTCTTCAGGCTGCTAATTTAATCAAAACAGCTTTCAAATCACCTTTTTGCCACCAAGAACAAATACTCAGCCAGCATGTAAGCTTACTGTTCCTGTGGTATCTAAATGAGATGAATGGTTTATATAAAAAAGACATGAATTTGTACACATCAATGCCTAGGAGTATAAGTTAGATTTCTGCAATTTTGTCTTCTGCCTGTATCATTTTCATTCCACTAAAATTAAAAACAAACTTAAAGCAATGAGGAAAGTTTGTTAACTTAGATTTTTTACTCATTATTGTTTACAGATACTCTTACTTGCTTAAAGCTCTCATTTTCTCCACTGACTGTTTCATTTATGAAAATATTTTTGTATAGTTTGACTAGAGTAGAAATTAGCAAAGATGGCTGATAAAAACAACTTCTTTAAATTACACAGACTCTTGTTTTGTCAAAATATCTTGGCACACCTGTTTTAGTAGGCTATATAAGCTGAGCTCTTAGGATATTTTTTATAATCTTATAAATTTAGCCAGCAGGTGAAAGACCTGTACTCTGAAAACAATGATGTTGAAGCAGACAGAAATAGGTGGAAGGCTACCTACTATGTTTATGGATTGGAAGGATTAATATGACTATACTACCCAAGGTGATTTTCAGATTCAATATAATCCCTATCAAAATACCAATGACATTCTTCTTAGAACTAGAACAAATAACCCTAAAATTATATGAAACCACAAAAGATCCTGAATAATCAAAGATATCTTGAGAAAGAAGAAAAAAGTTGGGAGTATCATGGTCCCTAATTTCAAACTATACTACAAAGCCACAATAATCAAAACAGTATGGTACTGGCAAAAAAAAATGGAACATATAACAACAAGTGGTGTTGGGAAAACTGGAGGTGGGAAAACTGGATCACTCTCTTATGCCATATACAAACAAACTCAAAATGGATTAAAGACTTAAATGTAAGACCTGAAACCATAAAGCTCATAGAAGAAAACATAGGTAGTAAATTATTTGATATGAATCTGAGTAATGCCCTTTTGGATGCATACCCTTAAACAAGAGAAACACACAAAAGCAAAAATAAATAGGCTCCATCAAACTAAAAAGCTTCTGTACAGCAAAGGGAACCATTAATAAAACAAAAAAAGACAACCTACTGAATGGAAGAATATATTCACAAATGATATATCCAATAAGGAGGGGGGCATTGATATCCAAATTATACAAGGAACCTCAAACAACTCAGTAACAAAACAATAATCCAAAAAAAAAATGGGCAGAGGAGTTGAACTATGCATCCCTATGTTCACTGCAACATTATTTATAATATTGAAGTTATGGAAGCAATGTATATGTCCATCAATACATGAATGGCTAAAAAAGATGTGATTGATATATATATATATATATGCAATAGAATATTATGTTGCAATAAAAAGAATGAACTCTTGACATTTTCAACAACATAGATAGACCTAGAGTGTATTATGATAACTGAAATAAGTCAGAGAAAGACAAATACTGTGTGGTATCACTTATACTGGAATATATATAAAAAAAGAACCAAACATAAAATAAAAACAGGCACATAGAAATGAAGATTAAACTGATGGTTATCAGAAGGAAGGGACGGGGGAATATATGAAGGGAAATACATACTCAATAATATTGTGATAAGTCGCATGATGGCAGGTGATTACTAGAATTAGTGGGGTAATTACACTGTAAGGTATGAAAATGTCAAATCATTGTATTTTACACCTGAAAGTAATATAACTAATAAAATATTGCACAACAATATTGCACAACAACTACACTTCAAAATTTTTTAAAATATAATGCTTTAGCCCTGGCTGTTAGAGATAGCTGGAATTAGAATTTTGATTTGTAAATATTTTTTCCAGGTTGAAATAAAATACAGCTTCAACTAAAATAAACTTATTGAAAGGCAGAATTTTACTTGGCATAATTGCTTAAAAGTAAGAGGAATTATAAAGGCAATATAATGTAGAACACCTAGCAAGCAGGTGTGAGAATAAATTCTAGAGAACTGGATTTTACTGGTTAGCCTTTAGTGTCTCTTAAGTCCACTTCCTGCTCCCTTAAAGGAATGCTATAAGGAGGTGTTTAAAGATATTTTGTTGTCTAAAGAAAAGCTCTGGAGGACACAAGGGTTACAATCCTATCTTTTATCCTGTGGATGACCTCCTCAGGAATAGAGCCTTAGAGTATTAACCACCACCACTCCAGTGAAGAATCACTATGGAAAATAGCAGAGCTGTTTTCCCTGGATACCAGAAATAGAATTAGTTTGTGATCACTAGAAAGTTCACAAAAGCTTCTCTTGGTAGCACATGGGAAGACAAACTAGGGGTGAGGCTTACTATCCATGCAACGTTAACTGTGAAAATGTCATTGCTGGTGACTAGAATAGCTTCATCAATTTCTCATAATGACAACTACCTACATTTGTCTATTCCATAGTATCACTGGCATACAAAACAGGTTCTGGCTTCTGAATCTGCCCCAACTAAGTTTCAAACCAATTACATTTCACAGCTTTATCTGGAAAACATCTGTTGGTTCCACAAAAACTTAAACATAGAATTACCATATGCGTCCTAGTGTTTAGTTAGAAAAATTGAAAATAGGTACTTAACTCCATGTACACGGATGTTCATAGTAGTGCTATTCACAATAGCCAAAAGGTAAAAACTGCTGAAATATACATCACTGGATGAATAAGCAGATTGTGGTAAAAACATACAGTGGAATATTAATCAGCCATGAAAAGGAATAAAATAATACATGCTACAACATGGATGAACTTTAAAAACTTTATGCTAAGTGAAAAAAGCCACACACAAAAGGTCACAGAGTATATGATTCCTTTTCTATGATTCCTTTTCTATGAAATATGCAGAATAAGTAAATCCACAGCATCAATGTGTTTGCCAGCGGCTGGGGAGATAGACGAATGGGGAGTAACTTCTTAATGGGTATAGGGTTTAATTTTGGAGGGATGGAAATGTTTTGAAATTAGATGGGGGGTGGGAGTTGTATAATACTGTAAATAGTACAAAATGCCACAGAATTATTCACTTTAAAGTGGTTAATTTTGTTACAGGATTTCACGTAAATCTTTTAAAAAGCTTTACTTGTCTTTAATTTAGGCACTAGATTCAGACATTTATAAATGCCTTATTTTTCATGAGGTAATTTTTCATTTTAAAGCAACAAAATCTTTTTATGATATTTTAATTCAAAACATACAACACCCATTCACCAACCCATGGCTCATACACTGCTTCCCTTAATGAAAATGCAATTTCTAATTTCTCTTAAAGCACAATTTTTAAAAAAGATTCTTGGGCTGTTACCTACCTTGTTAAGGACCATTTCATCCCAACCACAGATAATGCAAGCTATATTTATGTCTAATTACAAGGACACAAAAATTTAAGCAAAAAAAAAATTCCTTGCCATTTAAAAATGTAACTCCCATCTCTCTCTTCCCACAAGTTCCAGAGGCTGAGATGCTAAGAAGCCATACCAATTTCTAGAGTGAGAAACTACAGAACTGATTTGCTTAATACTTTAGAAAACTAATATTAGATGAGGTTACTGGACCAATTATAAGAAATTCAAAAGAAACAGTTCAAAGTCATAGCAACACTTTCACTCTATGTATAATTTAGAATAAAAATTAGGTAATGACATCAGCATCATGTTAGAGTTAGGAAACCTCTTGGCCTCTCCCCTAAAGTTGCAAGTGGGACAACTATAATGCCGTCAAGGATTGCCGCTCAACACAACAAACACGTCTGAGAGAGCTGTGCACTGAGACATCAGAAGGTGGTGTATTGAAGCAAGCAGGGGAGTCAGGAAGGGGGAAGGACAGAGGAGAGCCGCAGAAGCAGTCTGAGGCTCTCTGTACCTCAGGGAATTCAGCAGTAGTGGAGGGCTGGGTTGTACCCTCCAGTCAGCAGACCAGAGGGCCAGAGTAGCCGCGGCACAGAGGCTGAGCCCAGGGACAGAAGTTGAGAAGCAGTATAAAGGCTGGTGGCTGCAGTCAAGCAGCCACAATCATCAGGGAAAAAAAAATACAAAGTCACATGTGTGTGATTCTGCCCCATATCATCTCTCATATCAATAGATACCAAAACATTTGACAAGACACAATATCCATTTATGATCAAAACACACAAAGTGGGTATAGAAGGGAGTACCTCAACATAATACAGGCCACATATGACAAACCCTCAGCTAACATAGTCAACGATGAAAAACTAAGGGCTCTTAAGCTAGGATCAGGAATAAGACAAGGCTTCCCAATCTCACCATTGTTATTCAACATAGTACAGGAAGGCTGAGCAAGCACAATCAGGCAAGAGAAAAAAATAATGGCATCCAAATCGGGAAGTAAGAAGTAAAACTCACATTTTTCAGATGACATGATTATATATATATATATATAGAAAACCTTAAAGATTTCACCACAAGATTATTAAAAACAATAAACAGGACTTCTGGTCAAGATGGCAGCATAGGCAGACATGGCTGGCCTCTTTGCACAATCACACCAAAATTACAACTAAAATATACAACTACTACCACTCAGAACTGACAGAATGAATTCAAGTTGAATGGAAGTCTGACGGCTACAGAATTAAAGAAATCACATCCATCCAGACATGTAGGAGGGGTGCAGACCTGGAATGGGCTAGTCCCACACTGATGTATGGTGGATAAAAATTTGGGAGGGATATCCTGGGGACAAGGAGTCCCAGCCCCATACCGGGTACTCCCCCAACCCAGGGTTTTAGTGCTAGTAAGGTAAGTCCCCACAACTCCTGGCTCATTCCAGCAGGGAATGAGTCAGTGGAAGAAACTTCTGGAGCCCTAAGCAGTTGTTCTTAAAGAACTCACACAAGGTTAACCTTTTCAGACTCACTCCCTCGGAGTTCCAGCACTGGGGTAGCAGCTTGAAAGGCACCGGTAGCATACAGGGAGGACTTGAAGTGTCTGACATCAAGGCAAGCATAGGCCATTGTTCCTTTTGTAAACAGCCCCCTCCCCCTCCCCCAAGCTGGTAAGCTGGTGCCATATCTGAGACTCCATCAACCTGGCTAACACTGTTTGACCAGCCTTGGAGATTCCCAGAGACTCTGTCCCACCCAAATTGCTTTTCCTTATGAATGGGTGGTCTTGGCTTATACTGCACAAATTCCTAAATCCTCTTAAACAAGCAACAGCTGGCCTCAGGGAGCCCCCCTGCTTGTCACTAGCAGCAGCCAGCCCACATTCACAGCCTGGCTTCACCTGGGAACCTCCAAGTCGAGCACAAAGGGCAGCTATCTCAGATTGCTTTATAGCTCAGGCAGGATGGCCCCAGGCAAAACATAGGTAGGGGCTGACCTTGCACTGTACCACCCAAGAAACCCCAGGGCCAGTGAATCCAGTGGACAGGTACAGACCACATCAGAGCACCACTGCTCTGACCCTGCAAAGCTGATTCTCCACGGAGGGTGGAGGTTGGTGGTAAGTATTCACAGCCAATCTTTGCAGCTGACTGGCCTCAGTAAATCCCTCCCACTGATCTGTCAATAGCAATAAAGGCTCAACTACAAGAGGAGGGTGTACTCAGCTCACACAAAGGGCATAGGGGGAGGCTGTACCACTGGACCATACAGGACACCTGCTACATTAGGCCACACTACCAAGACATGGAGTCAAAGCATCTCTACCTAATACATAGAAACAAACACAGGTACGCTGCAAAAAAGAGGCGACAAAGAAACATGACCCAAATGAAAGAACAGACCAAAACAACAGAAAGAGCTAAATGAAATGCAGATAAGCAATCCATTTGATGCAGAGGTCAAAATACTGGTTACGAGGATGCTCAAGGAACTTAGTGGAGACCTCAACAGCATAAAAAAGATCCCATTAGAAGAGAAGGATACACTAATTGAAATAGAGAACAATTAGTGTCGCAGGTTCGATTACCAGTCAGGGTACATGCCTGGGTTGCAGGCCATGGCCCCCAGCAACCGCACATTGATGTTTCTCTCTTTCTCCCTCCCTTCCCTCTCTAAAAAATAAAATCTTTAAAAAAAGAAAAAGAAAAAAGAAAAAAATAGAGAACAATTTACAGGGAAACAACAGTAGAGTGGATGAAACTGAGAATGAAATCAATGATTTGAAACACAAGGAAGCAAAAAACCAATCAGAACAAGAAGAAGAAAAAAAGAATCCAAAAACTTGAGGATAATGTAAGTAGCCTTTGGGACATCTTTAAGCATTCCAACATCCACATCATAGGGGTACCAGATGGAGAAGAGAAAGAGCAAGAAATTGGAAACCTATTTGAAAAAATAATGAAAGAAAACTTCCCTAATTTGATGAAGGAAATAGACATGTATGTCTTGGAATCACAGAGTCCCAAACAAGATGGATGCAAAGAAGCCCACTCTAAGACACATCATGATTAAAATGCCAAAGGTTAAAGATAAAGAGAGAATCTTAAAAGCAGCAAGAAAAAAAAGTTAATTACTTACAGGGAGTTCCAATAAGACTATTATCTAAAGTAATATACAGATTCAATGTGATCCCCATCAAAATCCCAATGCATGTTTTAAAGAAATAGAACAAAAATCATCAAAGTTGGATAGAACCACACAAGACCCAGAATTGCCAAAGTAATCCCGAGGAAAAAAAGAACAAAGCCGAAGATATCTCACTCCCTGACTTACAAACTACACTACAAGGCTCCAATAATCAAAACAGTATGGTGTTGGCAGAACAATAGACACAGCAATCACTGGAACAGAACTGAAAGCCAAGAAAAAATGCCCACGTATAAATGGGCAACTAATTTACAACAAAGGAGTTAAAAACATGCAATAGAGAAAGAAAAGCCTCTTCAATAAATATTTTGGGAAAATTGGAAAGCCACATGCAAAAGAATGAAACCAGACTGCTCTCTGATAACATGCATAAAAAAATGACTCAAAATGGATGAAAAACATATACATATATATAAGACCTAAAAAAATAAAATACGTAGAAGAAAAGATATGCACTAAACTTATGGACCTTGGTCTCAGAGTGATTTTTGTAAGTTTGACCCCAAAGAGAAGTAAAAACAAAAATAAATGAATGTGACTACATCAAACTAAAAATTGTCTGCCCAGCTAAAGAAACAGTTAACAAAATAAAAAGGCAACCAACTAAATAGTAGATATTTGCAAATGATACCTCTAACAAGGGGCTAATATCCAAAATACATAAAGAACTCATACAGCTCAACAACAAAACCCCAATAAATGGGCGGAGGACCTGAATAGACACTTTTCCCCAGAAGATATACAAATGGCCTACAGATCTAAAAAGATGCTTGAATTCACTAGCTACAGGGAAATGCAAATCAAAACCACTAGGAGATACCACCTCACACTTGTTAGAATGGATATTATCTGTAAGACAAGAGATAAGTTTTGCAAGGATGTAGGAAAGAAGGAACCCTTGTACCCTGCTGGTGGGAATGTAAGCTGGTACAGCCTCCATGGAAATAGTATAAAGGTTCCTCAACAATTAATAGAGCTACCATATGACCTAGCAATCCCTCCTATTGGTAAGTATCTCCCAAATTTAAACACATTCATTCAGAAAGACACATGTACCCCTATGTTCACTGAAGCATTATTCACAGTAGCCAAGACATGTAAGCAACCTAAGTGTCCTTTGATGTATGATTAAGTAAAGAAGATGTAGTACATATATACAAAATGGAATACTACTCAGCCATAAAAGTCTTTGTGACAATATGGATGGATCTTGAGAGAATCATGCTAAGAGAAGTCAGTCAGATGGAAAAATACAAGAACCACATGAACTGTTTTATTCACTCATATGTGGTATAAAACAGAAAGTAACAAATGAATAAAACAAACTCATAGACACAGACTACAGTGTGGTGATTATCAGAGCTGTAACAGGATGGAGAAAGGATGAAGAGGGTTGTTTAGGTGTTAAAAGAAGACTTGAAAAGCCTCTTCAATAAATATTTTGGGAAAATTGGAAAGCCACATGCAAAAGACTTGACTTGGGGTGGTGAACACACAATCTTATTAACCAATGTCACCCCAATAAATACACTTTTTTAAGAATGTGAAAAAATCATTTTTCAGATAAAAAGGAACTCCCAGATTTAAAAATCCTTGTGAGTGTATCCCTCTCTGAAATCTAGCAATCTTGCGTAAAGAAATGTGGTCAATGAGTCAAGGAGTTAAGTTGGTGTTCATATTTAATTGTAAAGTATGAACATTTATATGTCATAGTAACTTGGACTCTGTTGTACCCCCCTAATTTTGCTCATGAATGTTTTATTCTGATGGAGTTTTTTACCACCAAAAAGAGAGTGTCCAATCTTACCATAGTTAAGAGCTTCTGGTGCTGTCCATTTAATGGGAATCTGCTTTAAGCCAGAAGATGAATACACTCCACCGTCCTCTTGACGAGACATTCCAAAGTCACTGATTTTCAGAACATTATTTTCACCTACCAGGCAGTTTCTTGCAGCAAGATCCCTAGGTTACAAGACACAGAAAACACCTATTAAAACAAATTGAAAGCCACTTTCACATTTATGACTTCTCCACTTTGCATTTTTACATTTGCAGTGTATATATAATGAGGTTAAGAATGCTTGCGATTTACTCGTCTTTCCTGTCACAGGTAAAAATCATCCACGTGAATATTTGCATATGCAACAGGCCACATGCTAATTTTCTAGACACCACATACATTTCCATTTAAATAGAAAAACACTGATTCTAAGGTTACGAGAAAAAATTACAGAGAAGTTAAGCAAACATGGCATTATTTTTCCTTTGACTGACTCACTATCCAACAGAACTTTCTGTGATGATGGAAAGCTCTCTGTCCACGCTCTGGTGTTCAGTAGGTAGCCACTATCCACATGTGACTACTGAACACTTGCTATGGGGCTAGTGTGATAGAGAAGCTGAATGTTTTATTTACTTTTAGTTAAATAGCTGAATGCTGCTAGTAGTCAGTGAGTAGTAGCCTGTAGTGTAATCTACACCTTCCCAACACATTTCCTTTTTCTAAAATAATATAGTTTATTGATTATGCTATTACAGTTGTCTATTCCCCTCCCCACCCTTAATCCCCTTCCACCTTGCATGCCCCCTTCCACCCGCATTCCCCTACCCCTGCTTAGTTCACATCCATGGGTCATACATATAAGTTCTTTGGCTTCTGTTTCCCATACTATTCTTAACCTTCCTCTGTCTATTTTGTACCTACCATTTATGCTTCTTATTCCCTGTACCCATTCCTCCATTCCCCCTTCTTCTCCAATAACTCTCCCTTCATGTCATCTCCAAATTTCTGTCATTCTGTTCCTATTCTTATTCCCTTAATTTGTTTTTGTTTTTGGGTTCAGTTGTTGATAGTTGTTTGTTGTCATTTTACTATTCATATTTTTGATCATCTTATTTTTCCTTAGATAAGTGCCTTTAACATTTCATATAATAAGGGCTTGGTGATGATGAACTCCTTTAACTTGATCTTATCTGGGAAGCACTTGATCTGCCCTTCCATTTTAAATGATAGCTTGGCTGGATAGAGTAATCTTGGATGTAGGTTCTTGCCTTTCATAACTTTGAATACTTCTTTCCAGCCCCTTCGTGCCTACAAGGTTCTTTTTGAAAAATCAGCTGAAACTCGTATGGGAATTTCTTTGTAAGTAATTCTCTCCCTTTCTCTTGCTGCTTTTAAGATTCTTTCCTTATCATTCATTTTGGGTAATGTAATTATGATGTGCCTTGGTGTGTTCCTCCTTGGATCCAACTTCTTTGGGACTCTCTGAGCTTCCTGGACTTCCTGGAAGTCTATTTCCTTTGCCAGATCAGGGAAGTTCTCCATTATTTTCTCAAATAAGTTTTCAATTTCTTGCTCTTCCTCTTTTCCTTCTGGCATCCCTATAATTGAGATATTGGAATGTTTAAAGTTGTCCCAGAGGTTCCTAAGCCTCTCATTTTTTTGAATTCTTGTTTCTTCATTCTGTCCTGGTTGAATGTTTATTTCTTCCTTCTGCTCCAAATCATTGATTTGAGTTCTGGTTTCCTTCCCTTCACTGTTGGTTCCATGTACATTTCTCTTCATTTCACTTTTCATAGCCTTCACTTTCTCCTCCATTTTGCAACCATACTCAACCATTTCTGTGAGCATCCCAATTACCAGTGTTTTGAATTCTGCATCTGATTGGTTGGCTAACTCTTCATTGCTTTGTTCTACTTTTGGAGCTTTCATCTGTTCCTTCATTTGGACCATATTTTTTGTCTCAGCATAGCTATTACATGGTAAGAAGTGGAGTCTTAGGTATTCTCCAGGGTAGGGCAAGCCATGTCACTGCATTGCTGTATGTGGGGGAAAGGTCTGAGAGGGAACAATGCCACTTACTCAGCTCTTTAACTGCTTTCAGTCACTTCCCCCAATACCCACAAGCAAATTTGGCCCTTCTGGTACTGATTCCGGGGTGAGTGGTTTTGTGTACATTCTAGGACCCCGTGGGCCTCTCCAGTGAACTCTCCTGTGAGGCTGGGAGTTTCTCTTGCTGCCTCAACCCCCATAAGTATCTCAAGTCAGAGGTTTAGAGGCTTTATTTCCCCATGCTGGATAAGCTGGGAGGAACAAGTGGGAAGTGAGACCACACAACCCAGTTCTCTGAAATCTTAAAGTGACTATCAATACCTGCTCTCATCAGGGTATAACCACAAAAACACAATTCAGTTAAAGCATTTACAAAGCCACAACCCTGAGTTTTGACAGAGGTACGATGGGCTGCAGTGCATATCTCCCAATCCCTGTCGCTGGGCTGCTGACTCCTTCTTGGCGCCAAATGCTATTCATCTTGTTCAGAATGAGCTTTCATTCATTTTATGCAGCATTTTAGCCATTTACAGATTTGAGCTTTAGTACTTTCCTCAGAATAACATCTGTGCTTTACAAATACTTTCACTTCTGTTGTCATAACTACCTTCACTGTACCACCAGAGAGGTTTGTCCTCTGTAATGAGGACTACAGTTCCACAAGTGACCAGTCTAAAACCAATTTAGGGACACCTTCCATCAATGTAAATAACATTTCAATAACATTTACAGAAAACTTCCTTCTGGTTGCATTATGCTCAAGTGAATGGAAATGGCGTCTTTTTGGCGTAATCCATTAATTAAAACTGAGGCCTTCAGGCAATAACTATACACTGCATAGTCACTGTTTGCCTAATATTCTAATAAGCGTTAGAGAAGAGAAAAACAGATTCGATCTCTGGGCCGAGAAGCTGACACTCTAATTTGGGAAGTAAGGCAGACATAACACCTTTCCTCCTTTTTTCCTCTCCATTCTGTTCTTTAGTAAGCTCACCGTTGGCCAACCCTGAGGCAGATTCTCTAGGATACGCACTGGTGCTCCCTGCCTCCTCACACATGAAACGGCTAGAAAACAAGCCACTGCATCCCAGACTGCGAATCCCACAGGAATTCAGAGAGGAGAAATCTCAGAACAGGCTGGCGCTGTTGCTCACAGGAGGTATCAGACGTAGCTGTGTCTTACCATACGCGGAGGACATAACAACAAACGCTGCCGACTGCCAAAAGGATGTGGAAGTGTCCTACTTACGTCTGCTGTATCATCTAATTTGAAGTTTCAAAGTCAGACTCCTGAGTGCGAGTGTGTACCAGAAGTGTCTTGCAAGTCGTATATAATAAGAGGCAGGCTAATTGAGGGTCGAATGAGAACAGAGAGCAGTTATGGAAATCCAGTGCCAGCAGGCAGTGGAGATGAGCCCGTTTTCTTTGCTCTCTGGAAAGCACAACAGTGGGCATTTTGCTTGGTGGCAAAGTTGCCTCTCAGAGCAAACACGATGATAAACCAGGGACAACCAGGAATGAACATGAAAGACCAGGAGGCCAATGCTCCTCTCTGCCAGGCTGCATTACCCCAAACATCATTTACTACTTGCAGCTATGATACCACAGAGTCGGGCCTTATATAGGAAACAGAGAATTACTGGTATTTGCTTTTTTCTCAGGGGAGAGGGGAGGTACTAAAACTCTTCCTACTAGGTCTGGATAATACTGAGCCACAGATAACTATGAACATTTAGGAGGAGAAAACCTCTTTAAGGCCCCGAGGTTTCCTCATTCTGATTAAAACACAGCCTGCTGCCAGCAACCCAGGGGGTGGGAAATGAATGAAGCCCCTTCCATTTGCCTTATTAAGTTCTGGTGAAAAGAGAATTATCGTCTTATTACTATACAACAAAATCTATATTATGAGAGTTGCAGGCATATCTGGGGGAGGCATTATAGAATAGTGGTTAAAGGCAAAAACTTTGAAGCATTACATCATATACTAACTCTTGGACTTTTAGAAGTTTACTTACTCTTAACCTTAGTTTTCTCATCTGTAAAATGGGGATAATAGTATCTGCTTCATAAGGCTTTTGTGAAGATTAAAATATGTAAACTGCTTAGCACAGTTTACACAGTGGGTGCTCAGTAAATGCTAGCCACACACCGATACAAAACTGCACATTTATCACAGCAAAACATGAGTTTTAGCCACGGAAACCATGTGTTGGAGAATCATGCCCCTTCCCCCTTCTAAAAGAATGAAGCACTTCACAGTTTTTTCTTTACTTGACTATAAAAGCCATTCAATTCAGTTCTCCTTATAGCAACAATTTGTGTAGCATTTACTACATGTCAGGCACTTCTCTGAGCACTTTTTATAGATTAAGTCACTTATTTCTTCTAATTATTGTATTTAAGATTTTCAGTTTTCGATGATCAAAGAGAAATTCAGAGTTGGCTGACTTACCCATAGTTGCACAGTCAATAAGTGGAGAAAAGCCAGAACTGAGCCCCATCAGCCCAGCCCTGCCGCCTGCAGTCTTAGCCAGCTGCTACATGCCTCTCAATACGTCTAGCAATTCTCTTGCAGAATGGAATCAAACCCCTTAATCCATGGCCAATGGTTACAACGTTTCCATTTTAAACAACAGAAGAGCCAAAATTGGTTACCTTTAAGAAAGAGACACCTCAAACCTCTACCCATTCAAAAGAGAAAAATAACTCAGAAACAGTCTATACAATGAACATAAGAAAAATGTTTTCAACCAAGTGTCACCAACTGCTTTAAAACAATATACATGAGTGTTGCGATGGAGGAAGAGTAGGATTGCTTGTTTATTGTTACAAAATTGCATATCCATTAATAGAAACAGAATCATGAAATATCTCATGGAGCACACCAGGAAACTGAGGTTGGGCAAAGCGGGGTGTCTTTAGTAACAGAGCTGGTGCCTTGGGGTGGTGGTACACTGGCCAGTACCAAGGACCCTCTTTAGCTGACAGTGCTGCAATGAGTTTAGCCAAAGGAGGTGATCAGCCAGATTTTTCTGCAAATCACATGTTGCTTATTTCCAACTCCAGAATCTACCTGCTCTTTCCTTTAAATAAAATATATGTAAATATGAAAATCTCCCTGCATTCCTCA